CCCTCCCCCCCCCCCCCCCAAAATATCCTTTCTTTCTCTTTCTTCTTGTTCTTTCATCCATCACATTTTCCCTTCCTCCCTTCCATATCTCTCCTCTTTTCTTTGACCGTTTCCTTCTGTACTCTCTTTCCTTTTCACATTTGTTTCCTTTTTTCCTGTTTTTTACCTCCCCCTTATTTTCCTCTCTTCTTTTTCTTCCTTCTCTCTATTCCTCCCCTCCACCCATTCGTCCCTCTTTTATTCCACTCTCCATTCCTTATTCCTTTCACTCCCTGCCATTATTTCCTCTGCCCTTGCTTTCCTCTTTTGCTCCCATTCATTCATGCATACATACATACATTCTTGCATCATCGCCCCCTCGTCCAGTCAGAGAACTCATAGTATTCACAACGAAAAACACTAGGCACCCTCTGAATGGCCACTGTGCGGAGCAAGTGACCCCCTATGTTTTAATAGCATATAGGAAGTTGCTCAGCACACTGTTCCTGGACCCAGAATACACTGTAATACACTGCAGTAGCTGAGGCCAGCCAGGTATAATATGCAGTATACTGTATATTTACATTGTCCCAAGCTGGACCAATGTGAGTATATATACATTTTTAAAGCTGGAATTCAGTTTATGGTATTAAGTTTGTAGTTTTTCATTCCACTGTCTACAAATTTAGAATCCACTTAAGCAATGACATCCCCATCTTTCTACCCCCACAAGTTCACAACAACATGGGTGGTGTTGGGGTAAATCTGATTCCTTAAGTACATAAAGTAGCAGCTCTCCACTACCCAACAGTTTCACAACTGATTTGTGCCATTTTGCCACCATGTGTGCCGGCTTTCTGTTGCTTGGGGAGTACTACAGAAAGCCAGAGTAGAGGCATATCTGCTATGAGGCCAGCAAAAGTATTTAAAGATCAGCATGACAGCTAGGCAATTTACATTTTTAGATGGAATTTAGCAATGGAAGCCCCTTTAAAGGACCATCTCGGGTTTCCTTTAAAAGGACCATTTCAGACCATCTCATGTTTCCTTTAAAGGACCATTTCTGACCATCTAAGATTTTCTTTAAAGGACCATCTCAGAAATTAACCCATGAAAGCTCCTTATAGACTCAAAAACAACAATGAACACTTATGTTTTATTTATAAAACTAAATACGGATAAAATACATAACAAACATATAGATAACAAGTCCAGCTACAATTTATAAAATGTACAACAAAAATCCAAAGCTCTGATAGAAATTATCTCCCTGAGTCAGTATATTTGCAGTTATGGCAGCACCACTGCTTCTTTTGATATATTTTCTATATCAAAACAGAGTTCTATACATTTTATATATACATAAAAATTCTTCTGGAGCAAGTGTAACAATACACATGAATATTCAGTGTGTACTTCACCATCAATTGCTGCACCATAAAAATCATTTTCTCCTTTTGTTCACACACTGTGCAGCACGGTTTGAGGGAATGTCACGCATTAAAACCATTTATCTTCTCATTTTTCTCTGTGCTATACATTTCCACATGATTGAATGCAGGGTTGTCAGTTCCCTCATCCTCATGGAGATCAGTATCTTGACGTTTCCAGTTAAGTACTTCAACTTTCTCTGTCTGCAGAAAGTTATATATAGTCAACATAGACACAACAATCCATAAAAACAATAAACAATGATTTCTTTCAGCTTATTATATACTGCAATTCTCATTGAAGAGTTTGACTGTTTGAAGAGAAGCCATCACAACTGACTTACACAAGAATCTTAACATTTAGCCTAGGGCTTCTACCCTTGGCTCTTTACAGCTGGACCTGGGGGCTCTAGTCTCCACTGTTTTGCCACCTTTCTGGCCCCGAAACCCTCAGTAGACCTTTTTTTTCCTCTCGAGGTTAGCGTGTGGAATCAAACACAGTTAAGAAATGGAACGTTGGATTGTTAACGTATTGCTCGATTTATGTTTTTGATAGGATTGCCTCCTGTATAGTACTGTTTATCCACAGAATTAAGTATCTCTTGGTTATCCCTCTTTTTTGTTTGTATGCTTTACCCTTTCATTGTGTTACATTGTACTATAATTTTGAAAATGTAAATAAAACTTTATTGAAAAAAAAAACCAAAATGACAGAACAGCGTCCCCTGGTTACCTGGTAACCAGATGAAGATGGAATCGGAACTAAAACTCGGCAGAAAGATCAATGAAGGCAAAACTAAAGAGGTGTACGAGCTGCCCGATCACCCCGGAAGTGTTCTCATGCGGTCCAAGGATCAGATCACAGCAGGAATGCAGCCAGGAAGGATCACATGGAGTGTAAAGCCTCTATCTCCAACTGTCATTACACTGATGACGGCTGGCTCCGCCCAGCTGTCAGTAGCAGGCTGTCGGCTGGCCAATGGCCCGGCCATTCGGCCAGCTTCGGCTTTTACCGCGGCTCAGTTGAGCCGAAGTATAGGGCTATGGGGTCTATTTACAAAGCTGCCGAAGGATAAAGCCGTAAGCACCCGCCTAAAATGAAGAGGAAGTTAACTTGTAGCTACTGATCTCAGGGGCCCAATGCAATCTACGGAATTTGGGTCCCTCCCACCCTACTCCATAGGCACCCTTCCTTTCTGGTCTGCACCCTTCAATGCAGTGCAAACTGGTCCCTGGGGGCTTCCCTCTGCTGCCACCAGAATAACAATTGCCCATTAAAACAGACTAGAAAACAGATCAATTATTGCAAAGCTGTACAGATAAATCACATGTTAGTTCAGATTATTTGGTGGTGACATGCACCCTGTCACTTCATATCACATGACCAAGAATGCATGAAGAACTGCTCCCGTACAATTGATTTTCAGTGATTTACAGCTAGCATCTCTTTGCTTGGTTATCATATAAGTGTTCTGCAGCAAGTGTTATTCTGGGAGTGGCAAAGAAGTAACCGTCCCAAAGGATTAATTGATGGAGATGCAGTGCTTTATTATATAAAGTTATATGTAAGTTTACAATAGTGATACATTTGCAATAGCTCTGCCCCCAAACCATCCCTTCTTGATACAAGAGAAATAAATGCTTAATTCGCTAAGCTATAGCAATCACTATTTGCCATAAGTCACATTACTGAAAATAACAATTGCTATGGCAAATAACACATAGCTTAGTGGATTGAACATATTGGCGTCGCTTGACTGATAAATCAATCTATCTGATCTAATTCTAGGCCTTTTGTTATCAACTTGTTACTTGCTTTTAGTAATAAAAAACCCACACATACATTAAAAAAATAATGTGTGTGTGTGTGTATACTCTGTGTGTATACTGTGTAAATAAATATATCTATGTGTGTGTATGGTTAAAAACAACTAGTTTAAATAACAAAATGGTGTGCAAAGTGCTAACTACAATGAGTAACACCAATCATAATCTATCATGTACTTGAGCAACATCACTAATGTGATTTCTAATGCTACCTAGAACCTAGAGTTTTCTCTCTTATATGCGCCTTTGTTATCATTCCCTGCTCCCTATTAGATTGTGATCCCTCATATACAGGTCCCTCATGCACCTTGTCTACATTGACTTGTAACTTTATTCATACATACTAAAGGGATGATTTATAACTCTTCTGCCCAGCCATACACTGGGTGAATGCCATTCACGTGGCATCCTAGCCACTAGATGGAGCCGAAGCGCATAGGAATTCTCTGTGCTCCTTGGCTCCATCAAGTGGTGGGAATGCCATGCATATGGCATTAACCGAAAATATGACTGGGTGGAAGAGTCATAAATAACACCTGTGTATTCTTAATTTTTTCAAGAAAAGTTTTTGGGATTATATTATGTGAATAAAATAAGATATTAATATCAAGAGCTGCAGAGTGTTATTAGAATCAGGCTGTGTCCTTGGGAATGCAGGTATTCATTTAAGTGCATTAACCCTGTATCGGAGAGCCTTTGTACATATGTAACACCCCTCAGGGTAACATAATAAGCCATAACTAAGACTTTTTAGCATCATACTTACTTCTTTAGCCCAACGAGAAGGAATCAAAACCTTGAGATAGGAAAAGTCTTCCGCTGTCAGTAGATATTCTCTGTTTACATTTTGTTTCCATCCACCTGAAAGGTAAACATGTGAATTATGAGATTAGATGTGAAGATTAAATCATTCTACACTAGTGAGATCAGTTAAATTGTGATTTCTGATGATTCCTATAAGTTAATGTACTTTGCCACTTTGTACTACTTTCCTAAAAAAAGGTATTGTGCTGCATCAAACACAACCCTTATTCGCCATCAGCAATAGTGCCTTTTGCATTACAAAGACTTTTAAATTTACAGGGTCACTTGTATACAAAGGGATATATGCTAAAACAAGATGAAATATATGTACCTTTCCGGTGCCTTGAAATGCAGGCGCTTTCACTGCTCCTCTTCCGTTGCAAGTATTCCATACATTGGGGAGTTTGGCATATTTGTTCCATCCAATACACAGTGGTATGTTCTGCCAGCTGATACATCTCTACAGAATGTACAAGATGGTGGGAGGAACCACAACGTGCAGCAGGGAGAACAGGTTTTCAACCTTCCCGAGGGCTCAAATACATGCAGTGGAAGGGAAGTAGAGCAATGGTGACAATCTAAGACGTGGGCAGGCTGAAAACATTTTAGCCTGTATGCTTTTGTATACAAGGGACGCTGTGGCAACAGTCACTTTAATGTACCTAACATGATCTGTATGCTTAATTTTCCTGACTAGCAGTAGTAAAAAAAAGTTATAGTAAATAATATCATTCTAAATATGATGTTAACAATATAACATTTTACCAGTAACTAAGCTGACTATTATTCCCACAACGATAGCAACAATTGTTCCAATGGTACTGAAGTATAGATAGGACAATGAATACCAGCTGTCAGCCAGGTCGGGTCTAGAGAAAATAAAATATAAAAAACATTAACATTACAAGAATTTGCAATCAGTGTATGTAAAGCATTAGAAGAATAGTAAAGGTTTCTTAAATTCACTAAGACGGGAGTGGACAGAGTCTGGAGCAGTTGCCCATCGCAACTAATCAGCTTCTATCTTTCATTTTCAAAGCTTTAATGAACAAACTGAAGAGAGAAGCTAATGGGTTACTATGGGCAACTGCTTCAGATTCATTCTGCTCCAGCTTTAATAAATTCCTTCCCAAAGTATCTTCATGTCTTGCTTCCTATAATTCCAAAAACAAGGGGTATATTTCTTCATTTAGGATATGAAGTGGGTCCCAATTCATCTGATTCCACTCACCCGGGGCCAAATGTGCATCCAGAACTGTTGAATTACAGTACAGATAAAGCCTAATATTACTTTGTATACATTTATTGCAAACATTACACATGTATTTAAATCGTATTTGTTCTATTTTAGGGATAGTCTAATTAGTGTAGATCAGACTGTCTTACAATCAGATGTAAATAACTAGCATTGTTTAAAGCTAAACATAAACTGGGCAAAGAGCAATAATAAAGGTAAAGGATGCCAATTTAAAGTAAAATCACAACCATGAAATCAGTAATATATTGAGTCTTTTTTACAGGATAGTACAGAATGCATAACATTACTGTTCTTTGTAGTGCCACAATACATACACACAATAGTATAAAAAAATAAAATCTTTTAGCTCATAATGATTTACAGTGGAAAAAAACTTTGTTATGTTATAACATCTTTCTGGCTTTACATCCCAACATAACTTTTTTTTCTGCTAATAGTCTTGATGTTTGTCTGAAAATGTATTAAATTACTTTTTACTCTTAGCTTAGTGAACATGCTGCCTCCTGCTTTCCACTCCAGTGCTCCATGTTGACATAGCTGAGTAACAGCCACACCACTCATCACAAATGTCCTCGCACATGCTTGTAGTGTTGAAGAGGAAAGCGGTGTGTCTGACCGGGTCTGCTAAGTTACTGAAGGCACCTGGTCTTACTTTGCTGCCTATTGGACTGCAAAGTCATATTTAGGAAAACAGCACAACTGTGATAGAAGGAAAGTGTAGCTAAGACTATGAAAATGGAGGTTGTTACTACAATGTCTCTCAGACTAAATATCTATTTCTCTGACTGCAACAGGGAATTAAAAGTCATTTGTCACATTTGAATAACTTCAGATGAGTGCAGCATATCAGTAGAAGAAGAAATTGAATGTATATACCATACATTTATATTGTAAAATTCTGTGCAAACTGAGAAGGAGGAGGAGGAGAAAGAAGTTAATGCCATATTTTCTACTGTTTCTAGATCAGTGGTTGCCATGTTTGTTTTGTGAGAATTTACTTATTTAGGATCATAGTTACATTTATACTGTTGTGATCTTTAATTAATGATGATCTGCTTCCTAAACGTATTTGTTAGGCATGAAGGAACACTTGTATGTATGTGTAAAAAGCTAGTACCACTCTCTCTAATGAATGTTACCATGTGTATATTTTGGTCATCAGAGGTATTTGATCCTATGTAATGGGCTTATCAGACAAGAGATTAAAAAAAAAAAAATTAGCTGTACTGGTTAGTATAGTGTCATGAGTAGGAACTTCAAAAACCTAATCCTGTTTCCCAACACACATTCTCTTGAGAGTCATTGTCCAGTAAGTACACAGCCCTGTCCAAATTGGCCCTGTGTTGCAAACAAGCAGATAAAAGCCTTAATACACAAAGCTATAATGCAAGTTATGAGCCATTATCAATTAGTAGTTATTTTCAAGCACGTGACTGCTATTTTCCACTCTCATTGCTGAAAATACCGCATGTTAGGGAAAATAATATTTTTTAGCTTAGTAAGCTGAGCCCTAATATTTGATGGTTAACATGTTGGTCAACATGTTCCATCTATTGCCTGCCTATTATTTTATCATCCTTACCATTTCAGATTTTTAAAATAGTTTAAGTCCCCCTTACATTGTGTTAACGTGTGGCAAATTTTAAAACAATATTTTTAAAGGAGAACTATGAGGTGAATGCTTTTCACTCACCTCATAGTTCTAGCTGACCTGTGACAATGAGACTGTCACAGGTCGGCTCAGTAGATCGGGAGGTGAGCGAACACATACCAGCGTTTGCTCACCTCTCGATCCTGTCACGGCTCTCTGCCGTGACAGGGGAGGGGCTGGATTCCCCCCTCCCCGCCTAGATCCGCCAGCGCTAACTGGCGGAACGGACGGGGGAGGGGGCGGGTACAGCTGGCTCTGCCTCTAGATAGGCAGAGCCAGCTGTCAGTCATGCAGCTGGGCGGATCCCGGCAGAATTGTCGGGATCCGCTTCAGCTGCGGCGACTCAGTATACCGCGAGCAGCAGCTCGCGGTATACTGAGCCTAGGGTGACGGGAGGACGCTAGTTTGTGTCCCCCCGTTACCCTAAGGAGAACTATGGGGAAAAGCCTTAACCCCTTAGTTCTCCTTTAATCTCTTGTCTGGTAAGACCATTAGGTAGGATCAAATACCTCTGAGGACCAAAATATACAGTACATCTCTAGGTTCACAAAGGTCAAGGAATTTAGTTTAGTTGGAAGACTTGGATTTGAAAAAATAAATAAATACCACATACCTTTCCACAGCTTGAACTTCTGACAATATACCAGTCACTGCGGGTAGTGCTGTTGTTAATGTCCAGTTGGTGTCTACAGTGCTGAAATTGCAGCCCTCTGTTGACAGGTATTTGGGTAAACTTCTTATGGGGAGAGGAGCGTAAATTTGAGATCCAATACCTACCCATAATGAAATTGTAAAACCAGCCAATAGACCAGTCAATGCACCCTGCAATACAAAAGAAAGCATTTACAGTGTGGATGGGGGTTTAGATTTTCTGCAAGGTTTTTTCTGCTGTGTGTGTCCACTAGGGAAATGTGAGATGTGAGATGCCAGAGATGTGACAGAAAGTGAGAAGAAATGTTTCCAAAGTGAGAGGAAATCCCAGCTCGGACAGAAGCATGTGGAATAAACATGGTAGATCTACAATTTCCTTTCTAAAAAAAATAAAAAATATATCAAAGTGTATTTCAGTACGAAAGAAAATATGTGTTGTACATATTCAGTACATCTCTGCAATATATGCACATTTCCCATGTTTAATTCCTTTAAAAAATGCTGTAAGTACAAGAACATACCTGTTGATCTACCAGTAATCCAAACAGGGCCTAACAACAAAGTGCCTTTGTTGTACTGAAATCCTCAGCAGTGCTATTAGCCCTACCTGCTGGACTACATAACTCTGCCTATCCCCCACCTCTGTCACAGACTTACCCGGCGTGTCCCCGCGCTCCAGCGAAGGGTCGTCTCGTGCGTGACGTCACGGCGGCTCCTCCCACGGGGCGCGGCTACCAGGGTAAAGGGTCAGCTGGTTCGTCACTCGGCGTTCTCTCATTGTGGAGAGTCGGGTGACGAACAGAGAACCCACAGGCTGTCCTTGGATACTGAAAGCAGATCGCTGCCCAGAGCCAATAGCTGACGTATCGATACTGCTACCCCGCTGTGAGCCCAGAACTATTCAGAGCACACAACCTCAAGTATTCTGGAAGTCATTGTAAATCTTGCCTAACCTGCTACATGTATTAGTGCTTGCTTGCATGCTGCCTATGTGTTGCAGTCTCACACGCACACCCACTAAGCATCCCCAGCTGATCCGGATTCCCTGTCCTTCAGTTAACTATACCTGCTAAGAGACGTAGGACTGAGACTTTCTCTAAAACTGCATAGGGGTGCATTAAGTCTGATATTGGAGTTTATTTGAGCTATGCATATATTCCCTACATGCTTGCTACCTGCTGATAACGCTGCATAGTGGTGCAATAAATTTGATATTGGAGATTATTTGAGCTATCCATATATATGCTACATGCTTTCTACCTACAGATAAAACTGCCTACATATCCGATGTATGCATCCGTTTTGTACACTAGAGGTTAACACTTACCTACTCATACTGCTTGCCTCCCCATTTGATACTCCGCACGCTGGTACCGCGCATGTACAGCTTGCCACATATGAGCGTGGGGTAGGGGGTACTACCCATATATCATCTTAGCTTAATTCTCACCCCAGTAACAGGAAGTATATGATGAGTGCGGTCTCCCTATAGCAGTTAATGTAATTGGGAGCCGCTCACTGACCTTCCTTATTCAACAAACCCCCATCAGTTCCGCAGCTGTGATCCCGTTAGACACTTATCACTGGTCCAGCCTTGACAACCTCTCTCAGTCCCACTCAATGTGCACACATTGATTTCTTTCCCATGAATACACTTTTGCCGCCTTGAGTGGCAAGAGCCTGCCCACACATCGGGGGGAATTTAATAAAATTGGAGCAAAATGAATCTGGAGCAGTTGCTCATGTCAACCAGCTTCTCTATTCAGTTTGTTCAGCTAAGATTTGAAAATGAAACAGAGAAGATGATTGGTTGCAGTGCACAGCTGCTCCAGATTTTGTCTGCTCCAGCTTTGATAAATTCCCCTCATTGTGAGTAAGGAAAGAGCTCTTAAGAAATGTAATTCTGGGAGATGTGCCTAAATCAATAGGTGATGATGTCACAGGTAGTAAAGAAAGATGTGTGCTACAACAACAAGATAAAAGAAAAAAAAATGCTGGGACATACTCTGGGGACAATAGTTTTGAAGTTGAATTTAGGTAATACTTACCCTTCAGAGCTGGCCTTACACTTTATTAAAAAACTATACACAATCATACTATCAGATAAAAAGACCACAAAAGTGTGGAAAACACATTTATAGAAGACTGACATTTTATTACAAACATTGAATTCTGATTGAAAAATCGGTTCAATATGTCTAAGTTCTTTTGAGTTCCGATCTGAGACCTGCAAATAACCTTATATTGCACTTTTGCAATCAATGCCTAGGATTTTTTCTGAAGATGTATTTGTTAATGGCTATACAATTGGCACATGCCAAAGCTTGCAATACTCCAGAAAAGCTATCATTTGATTGACTTGCATCTGAGGTCAATATAGGGTAAATGTTTGTCAGCTGCACAACAGATGTGGAAGTGACTATCAAAAATATATCAAATGTTTTTTATTATGTCCTACTAATTTCAAAGAGGACCACATGAACTATACCTTCATGCAGTTCTGAATACTAAATGCACTACATATACTTCCAGGCTTAGGTGCTCTGGTTTGTGCTAATGCAATTGTTATTGAAACTAATTGGATGTTCTTATTAAAAAAAGAATCAACAGTCACTAAAAAGTGACATGACACCACCATGAAGCAAATGCACACAGCAACTGCACAAAATCAAAAAATGACCTTGCAGTACCATACCATCAGATTTGGATCTACCTACAGGCACCAACATTCTTTCCATTAACTTGCACACTCATTTTGGGAAAATATTCATGTTTGTGGCTGTAGAGCAAGGACAGCAGAATGACATCCCAATCCTGGCTTATCTCGGTGGAAAAAAATTGTGATGGACGAGAGCAATACTACACGGCCAAACAGTTTTACTCCAAGAATGGGCATCCATGAGATGTATGACAAGATTGGGAAATGTCCATAGACCTGTAGTCACTTCCAGATCTGACCATAACCTGGCTGTGGACCCCTTACACACTATTGAGTTGTACTTACTATGGAGTTTGCAAAGGGGAAGATAATTCCTAGAGTAAACAGACCAAGCAGAGGTCCTCCAACCATACCGAAGATGGAAAGAGCAGCCTATAAGCAGAGAAACATAATTATTTGCATAAACAATGTATTAATCTTCTTTATAATACAAACCATTGTGTGCGATTTATTGCTTTGTTTGATTTCAACCAAATATTTACAGTAAACACGACTGCTGAGTAATGGCTTTAAAAATAACCTCTATTTCAGAATGATCAGCATTCTATCTATTCGATTTATATTTTGCTATGTTAATGAGCTATGATTTTCTATCATATTCTTTTTTTTTTAGCAAAATTATAAACTGTAAGGAAAAACGTACATCACCAAAGGACAAGTTACCCCAAAAGTGAGTTAAAACTCAGCTTGAATGTCTCTTGGGGACTCCAGCAACAAGATCTCCTTACCATAATTCCAAGGCAGTTTCCAGCCCACCTAGGAGTTTTGGGTTTTGGCACCTATTTTATATTATTTTTTAGTATAGACCAAAAACTGAAACATCAATAATTTTTGCAATGTTACATAATGTAAAGGTGGAAATTTTCTAAATAAAAAATGTACTAATTAGGTCAACACTAATGTGTTATGTGTTGAACTGTGTTAACCTATTAAACTATTTGAGGTCAGAGACAAACGTAGTTTCTAACTAACCGTTCCAGGGTGACTCAGACAGTTTTTTATTTATGGCACTTGTCTAAATGATGATTAATGTAACGAAATAAGCCCAGTGGTGTTTTTGTATATTGCTGTGTAAGTGCTGATTCACTACCTGTAATAAGCCACCCATTAGGGATGCCAAGGCTGCCATGCCAATACATATTGCACCATATAGGAGACCTTGAGAACACAGAAAACAAAAAAGAGATTAGCATGCAATTATAACATAATACCAGAATTTCTACATAGTTTTACAATTTATGATTTGCTGGCAGGTTTATTCAACTATGGCTTAATAGTATCATACTTGCTCCTTTGGAAATCCATGACAGCTTGGTTTCACTGAGGGGCTTGGAGAAAGGCTTTATAAGGTCTTCCACTGTGACAGCAGCCAAAGCATTGATACTGGAGGACACAGTACTGAAACAAACATTCAATATAGCAATAAATATCACTTGAAGTTTTTTGTCCTCAAAAAATTTAAACATACTAATATTACAGTACTGTACTTTATATTACTGATCATAGCTATATTTGCAATAATGTCACATACTATAAGGCACTAGGCTGTATGTATTTATGTATTAATAGCTTCTCTTTTATAGTGCAACTATTCTCCCTCTTCATCTCTAAATTGCTCTAGATGAGAGCTTTGGTGTATTGTCGGATATCAGCTCCAAATTAAATGCATATGTTTTTATTTAAATGTACAACAGTAATAAGAAAGAGATTTAACACAACGTCATTTGCTTTGTTAATGCTAGTATCTTGGAATTGTTTAATATGGTGATGTTCAGTGATGGAACCCACTTAGGCTCAATGTGATGTCAACTGTTATCAGTCAAAACAATGAAAGGTGGTTTTCAATTGTCCGATTCTATGTATGCACAATGAACACTACTGTATTCCTAATAAAATAAAGAGCCTTTTGTTCAGAGATTTATTGTTTATCTTGGTAGATCATGTAACAACTAGGGGAATCAAGCAACCAGCATACTTATGTACCATACAGTAAAAACAGTTTGGAGATACATTTAATATTTAAAAAATAACAAATATAGTTCATTTGTGAATGGAAATAGTTATAGTTAATAGAAATAATTATAAAAATATTAAAATACGTTGTGCTTACATTACTGTATAGATGCAACCCAAACAGAAATGCAACATTAAAAATTCCTCTTAGGGTCCAACCAGTTTATAAATACAGAATATCCTTGCTTAAGTGTATTATTTTTGCTGATAGTAAAATGAGGGAAGCATTAAACTTGGATCTGTAGCTACTTATACAGTATACTTATATACTAATGGGACACGCAAGGTGGTGGTCAAATGGATAAAATTTTACCTTAACGTCCCACTGTATGCACAGGCCACAAACAGTCCTGGAAGTCCTGGATAGTCCCGCAAAATGTCAAGGGCAAGGTAAGGCATTAGCTGAGAAAAATATATAACATTATTAGTTTCTCATTAATTTCTTGTCTTCAGTGCCTGAGGACAGATCTTTGTCTAAGGGACAGAGTGTGAGGTGTCCCACCAACCCATCCTGAAAGGTTTATTGTCTGTATTACAATCAAAGGGAGAAGAGGAGGATCAGAGCTACATTGCCTAATTAAGTTCTGTAATAGAAAGGATATGTGTAAGGGCCACACACATCACCTCTCCCAGCTCTTAGCAACCTGGGATGCTCTTGCCAGCGTCATGCTGAGCTCCTGGCAACCAGTGACGTCAGTGAATGCTAGGAGCTCAGCAGGACACCGGCAAGAGCATCCCAGGTTGCTAAGAACTGAGCGGGGAGATGTAGAGCCCTAACATATCTTCCTGCCCGGCTCTTAGTGGCTTCACTCACCACCAGCACCACCTCCACTGATTGCGTGCACCATCAAGCAAACCCCCCCTTACCACTCCACCTTGGGTGGCAAAAAGTCTAGGGACACGCTGGGTCTATTTCTTACCTGATCTGGAGCTGAAACAAATTTGGCAGTCCATGGATCACAATCCTTGTATATAGAATACATTGCCAGTCCACTTAGTACTGCGCAGGAAAGGATAGCCCACAGTCCTACCAGATTCACATACAGGGACCTGCATTGAAATAGTGACATGGGACTTTTAATGCAGAATAAATTACATTCTGGCTTATATTTGATACAGCGATACAGTGTACTCATTTTCTAACAAAGCATATATGTTTTAGGTCAGTCATGAATATTGGTGAACACCATCAATAATGTCACACATAATAGTACATAATAGCAGACTACTGTATACAGTACTACAATGTTGGGAACTCTGTGGTATAAACTGGTATGTAATATTGTATAATACAGTAACCAGAGATCAGTACATTATCTTTGGTAATACTATATGCAATAGTTACATTATTATCTTCAGATAACTTTCAGTTCCAAAAAAGTAAACCCCTGGAGATAGCAGTATTAAGGCTTTACAGAAACCCACTTTGATTATTTGTATCTTTATCTTCTTCTGCATGCATTGACAATTACGTCTGCTCTCTCTCATTACAGCTGCAAGCTAGAGAAAAAATGTATCACGCATTACAAGATTTTTACATATTCTGAAGTGCTCCTCATTTATCAGTTCAGCCAATTGCTAAAACATTTTTATATTTTTTGATGTCTGTAAACTCATTTTACCATCGCACAGTGACTTCAATTGGGGGAATAGATTGGAACAGACACTGCAGGAAGCTGTTCATAACAAATGTAGAGTGTGGTTATGTCGTGGGATTTGAGATATGTTGAATAAAAAAAAATTACATGTTTTGCACTGTATTTCCCTTAAAGTTTATTACTTGCAAAAGAAAAGGCCATACCACACCTGTACTTTTCTACTTTTCTACACAAGCTTTAAGGTACATGGCCTACAGTGTCACTACTGGGAAGATTCGTCCTCTCTATTGTATTAGTGATCTCTGTCGGAAAGTGATAGGAGATCCAAATTTTTATATTTGCCACAAAAACAGTTATAAGATGGGACATCTTCTAATATAGGCACCTTTCCTGGTGACAACTGTGTAACAGGGGCTAGCCTATTTCCCCAATTACTTAAACAGCAAGTGTTCTAATCATTCCAATAGCAAGAGATACATATTAAGTCATCTTGAAAGATGCGGACAGTGATATTATGCAACTTCAAAAGAGATCTGATCTACCTTTATATGCATGCCACTTTAAAGAATACAATTTTATAGAACTGATTATTAATTAAAGTATATCTAAAGCCCATACTTTTTTGTAAATGTTAGATATCATATGTAATGGTTAAAACCCTTGTCAAGTTTTTTTTCTTTCTTTTGTCATCTATGTCTAATTTGAGAGAATTCCCTATATTTCCTGTTTTTAAAACACAACAGGAAGTGGGAGAAAAACTAACTAGAGATGCCGTCTTAAACAGTTGTCACAATAACAAAAATTCCAGAGCATAAGTTTATCCCTTATAGTCCTGTTCTGGTGAAAACTCCAAATTTGGATCTGTCCTCACTTTTAGTTACACTATTTAGGATTAATAAAGAGAGTTAATTTCCCTAGAAGGGATACAGGCAACAATAAAAACCAGACAAAGGTTCTAAACTCTCCCCACTCTATCCAAAACTAAAAGTATAATTTTTGTATAACATACACTTTAATCACCCAATCATAAAAAAATCTGACACTGCACCATTCACAAATGAAGCAATCGAGGATCTAAAACCAGTGGCATGAGCTAAAATTTATAAAAATCATTTAACTTATCTAACTGTTTTGTTTCAGTAATCTATTTTTAATTCACAGTGTAATTCCAACTTACATTTTAGCTTGAAATCTGGTTTTGCAAGCAATGTATCTCTGCACTTGTGACTGGTTGACGCCATATATTCCAGTCCAAGTAAATGTTCCTCCAATAACAATGGTCCAAAAGGTGTGTCGCTGTAGTGGATTTGGGTTAAAACTAAAAAATTGTAGAATAAATAGTGAAAATATGCACAAATAAGAGTTCTTTAAAATCTAATAAGTATTCATAGTTTTTTAAGTCAATATCTAGTTACAAAAAGCAAGTTTGAGAAATCTGCTTGCCAATAAATATGCTTACTCCCAGAAATTCAGCCTGTCTCCGTAATATGAGTCATTTAGAATAGGGCTGATTCCACCCTGGACTACCACAGCTCGAATGATGACAGATGAAAACCCAGCAACCATGATGCCGACCTGGAACACATCTGTCCACACAACTGCTTTAAGGCCGCCCTATAAAAGAAAACATATGGAAATAAAAGTCAAGTTCTATGATGCTGTTAGAATAAAGTATTCTGGACCGCAACATTTTTTTCTCTAAATACTATATTGTTATACATGTCAACCAAATATTGTAATAGATAAGACATTAGGTAAAGGCAGTGAGTGATGATAGTGGACTGCTGACAAACTACCAGTCATGCACAGTTCATCTACAATTATGATATGAGGGAACTGCTAGAAACAGAGGCTGTCAACTTGGTCCTAAAAAAAATAGAAATAAGCTTGATATAGTCTTTAATAGAGAAAGGAGAGGGAGGAGAAATTGTATGAAATCTAGGATTCATTAAAAGAGATTAGATTCTTTTAAGGACTGAACTGGCATTAGAACTTAACACGGGTGATAAAGCAAATGCAATCATTACTAACCAGCGTGCAGTAGAAAGTGCAGACCACTCCAGTGGCCACAACAGCACCCCACAAATCAAATCCAGTAACTGAAACAAGCATAAAGATGACACAGAATAAAAAATATTGTAATACAATGCAGCAGTTTATGGGTTGTCACATTTATTAACTGAATACCCCTATTATTCAGTACCTGTACTGTATAGTCAAAACTTTTAATTCTAATTTTAAATGAACTATGGAAGGGATAAAACCCTGTCAGTTTATTGTTTGCTGTCAGTGTCCCATTGGGAACATTTATTTTCACATTCTGTCACACAGACCCAACAGCAAGTAAGAGGAATTCCCTAGCAAGTAAGAGGAAATATCCCCATCTGAAGATTTCCTCTCTATCCCTGTTCTGGTGACAACTGTAAGGTTTGGGATTTCCTATCACTTTCAATCCTGGTGACAATGGTCATCTGGACCAATAGGGTAGTGACTCTCCCCAGGGAGGACACAAAAATCAATAAAAACTTGACAAATAGAACATATAATATCCCCTGTTTTGTATGTATAATTTTCTTACATCTATAAACAGAGCCATCCCTATAATGAGGCAATATATTATTAAATTAATGCCTCAGGCAGCATCTCATTGGGGAGCGGCCAGGTGGTGGGGGGTTGCTCTTAGCAACCTGTGATGCTCTGCTCAGTGCAGCCTCCCAGTCCAGCTCACTGACATCACTGGTTGCCAGGAGCTGAGTGGAGATGCTCTGGCTTGCGTCCTGCCTAGCAACCGGTCCTGGCAACCAGTGACATTAGTGAGCCGCTCGGGATGCCGAGCGGGGCTGCTGACAGCATAACCTGGCATCCGCCACCCCCCCTTTCGAATGAAAAACCAACTGCACACGCCAACCCCCCCACGAAGCTCGCTCCCATGATGGACTACAATCCCAATGCAAATTAGTTAACCAAACGTGAGATTGTAGTCTATCAATTTACAACACACAAAGGGACCATGGAGAACAAAAGTAGCCACCCTCCGGAAGGAAGGACAGTGTTCAGCATGAATTGAGAGATGATTTCAGGATCTACAACTGAGTAATACACAAAAAAGCTAAAAAAAAAATAATAGTTAGGGCACTTGAATGCATTTTTCAAATGTAAAAGTTTAGTTTACTGTCACTTTAAGGTAAAGTACCGGTAAAAGGTGTACCTGAATTAAAGGAGAACTATTGGGTTAGGGCTTTCCCCCATAGTTCTCCTAAAGGGTAACGGGAGGACACAAACTAGCATCCTCCCGTCACCCTAAGCTCAGCTACAGCTCGCGGTATACTGAGACGCCGCAGTTGAAACGGATCCCGACAATTATGTCTGGATCCGCCCAGCTGCCTGAGTGACAGCTCCCCCGTCCGTTCCGCCAGTCAGCGCTGGAGGATCGTAGCGGGGAGGGGGGAATCCAGTCCCTCCCCTGCCACAGCTCTCTGCCGTGACAGGATCGAGAAGTGAGCGAACGCCGGTATGTGTTCGCTCACTTCCTGATCTACTGAGCCGACCTGTGACAGTTTAATTGTCACAGGTCGGCTAGAACTATGAGGATGAGTGAAAAGCACTCACCTCATAGTTCTCCTTTAATTGATGTAACTTATGCTACAATTTTCCTGCTTTGTACACGGGAAATGGAATTCTAGTGTTTACAATATTTGTTATGGAGATATGAGAAAACATGAATCACTCCCTCTGACTCCCCAGTGTTCTCCTGATCTTTGCACTTTTTGTATTGCATCTCTTACCTTGGTTTAATGCCAAAGCTGGAGCATAAATGACAATTCCTGTATATAGAACCTACAGGAAAGAAGTAGATAAAACATATGCAAAAACATAAATATAATCGGTAAAAAGACTAAAATGACTGGTGACCAACTTATTTTTACCCCGCTATAGACCAAAAAGCAGACCCTTAAATGGAAATGTTAGCCTGCCACACTACTTAGCGGGTTATTCTGCATCACACCAAGAGGAGACGTGCTACACATACAAGCATTAAAGTGTATATAAAAATAAATATTATATATTGAAACTTATCAGTCCTTAGATGTGACTACATTTGTTTTCTTTTTTCAGACTTTGTCCCTTTACTTTTACCTGTAGAAGTCTATTAGCAGACTTCCTGTCCTAGGGTGACCATGTTCACTCACTGTACTGAATGAATGATAAAGGGTCATGAAGGAGCAGTGTTGTCATTCTCAGAAAGGACTACAGAAGCCCCCTTATCTCTATAACATATGGGGGAGCAACTCTGTATTTCAGAGAAGTGAATTACAGAGCTGATACGATTGTCAGATATGTTAGTGCAGCATTGTCAACTCATTACAGGAAGTATGGGGCTCACTTATCAAACAGATATTACAAAACACTTTTAATGGTATATATAACAGACTAAAATTAAACAAATAACAGAAGTTCATTATTAGGGTTTACAAACTTTTAGGCACCATAAAACACTTGTGTCTGATGGGAACAAGCACTAACATGATGACGTTAGTAATGCAATATAAACAGTTACCAACAATAAAACCACTGGAGTGTGCAGGGCTTGACAGCAGCAAGGTAACTTTCATTATAACAACTCCTGTATTTGTTTTGGACACTTACAATACATTTCTACTGAGTACTAAATGAAATACCTTTTGATGGCTAGCCATTAGCAGAAGCTCATCATATAAATAAATTATCTCATCACATTATACATTATTAACTGTACACTGAACCACTGTTATCAGTGGAATGTGTAAATACATAATGAGGTGTTGACTGCAATAAGTGCAATGATGACATACAGTTGTGCTCAAAAGTTTGCATACCCTGGCAGAAGTCGTGAAATGTTAGCATTGATATTGAAAATATGACTGATCATTCCAAAAAACTGCCCTTTAAGGATAGTGATCATATGAAGCCATTTATTACATAGTTGTTTGGCTCCTTTTTAAATCATAATGATCAAAGAAATCACCCAAATGGCCCTGCTCAAAAGTTTACATATCCTGGAATGTTTGGCCTTGTTACAGACACACAAGGTGACACACATAGGTTACAATGGCAATTAAAGGTTAATTTCCCACATCTGGGGCTTTTTAAATTACAATTAGTGCCTGTGTACAAATAGTCAATGAGTTTGTTAGCTCTCACGTGGATGCACTGAGCAGGCTAAATACTGGACCATGGGGAACAAAAAAGAACTGTCAGAAGACCTGCGTAACAAGGTAATGGAACTTTATAAAGATGGAAAGGAATATAAAAAGATATCCAAAGCCTTGAAAATGCCAGTCAGTACGGTTCAATCACTTTTTAAGAAGTGGAAAATTCTGGGATCTCTTAAAGCCAAGCCAATGTCAGGTAGAGCATGAAAGATTGCAGCCACAGCTGCCAGAAGAATTGTTTGGGATACAAAGAAAAACCCACATGTAACCTCAGGAGAAATACAGGCTGCTCTGGAAAAACACTGTGTGGTTGTTTGAAGGAGCACTATACGACGATACTTTAACAAAAATAAACTGCATGGTCGCGTTGCCAGAAAGAAGCCTTTACTGTGCCAATGCCACAAAAAAGCCCGGTTACAATATGCCCGACAACACCTTGACACGCCTCACAGCTTCTGGCACACTGTAATTTGGAGTGACGAGACCAAAATAGAGCTATATGGCTACAACCATGGTGGTGGCTCACTGATGTTTTGGGTGTGTGTGAGCTCTAAAGGCACAGGGGAATATTGTGAAAACTGATGGCAAGATGAATACAGCATGTTATCAGAAAATACTGGCAGACAATGTGCATTTTTCTGCAGGAAAGCTGTGCATGGGACGCTCTTGGACTTTCCAGCATGACAATGACCCTAAGCACAAGGCCAAGTTGACCCTCCCGTGGTTACAGCAGAAAAAGGTGAAGGTTCTGGAGTGGCCATAACAGTATCCTGACCTTATTATCATCGAGCCACTCTGGGGAGCTCTCAAACGTGTGGTTCATGCAAGACGACCAAAGACTTTGCATGACCTGGAGGCATTTTGCTAAGACCAATGGGCAGCTATACCACTTGCGAGAATTTGGGGCCTCATAGACAACTATTACAAAAGACTGCACGCTGTCATTGATGCTAAAGGGGGCAATACACTGTATTAAGAACTAAGTGTATGCAAACTTTTGAACAGTGGCCATTTTCATTTTTTTTATTTGTTGCCATGTTTTCTTTTATGATGTTGCCATTCTGCTATGACCTACATTTGAAATATGAATCCCACAGGAAATACAATAATATTTTCTTTAAAAATGCACAGATGTAACCAATTCTCTAAGGGTATGAAACTTTCTCCTAAGAGTTATTTTCTCTTTAAATTTAATTGGGAAAATGTGAATCCTATGTGAAATTCATGTGAAAAACATTTGTATATAGACCCCAAAGTGTATAATATACGAACAAAAATTGTTATAATGTAGCCCCCATCACCTTCTGTGATGTGGCTATTAGACATTTAGTGATAGACAGGGCTGTAATCAGCCTGGCTGGAATTGTAGTGGTCATTATCTGGTTAATCCCAGGTGTCTAGCCTTGCCTGTACCCCTTGAGCAAAGTAAATGTATGTACAGTACAGCAGCCAATCACTGGGCTTCTCTCAGACAGTGGTGCATTCTGGGATAGAGTACATATGCTGGTGGGATTTGCCATGGGCTCAGACTAGCCAGGACCAGCCATGGAAAAGTGCTGGGTCCTGTTCAGCCTGCCCCCCAGGCTAGGCCTGAGGCCTGGGGGTGGGCATGGGCTGGTGTGAGGGAAAAGGTTTCCCTGAGGCCTCCAACATGGAGAAGGCCTGGGATGCTGAAAGAGGAAGAGAACCGGGACCAATGCAGGCTCTTGAAGTGCCCTGGAACTAAGTGGACTTCAGGAACATGGTTGGTGTATTTCTTGTGTTGAGGATCTGTATTCATCCTGCCTAGCTGTTACATCAGTGGCTGTCCTCTGTCTCCCAAGTGGATCTACACTGATATTCCTACAAGGTCTGGCGAGTCTGGAGCTCTTGTTGGCTACCCCTGGACACCTAGAACCCCTATACCCTCTCTCCCCAGTGAAGATGTTCAATAAACCGTTTACTTAGCATTTTACTACTGGAGTGGACATCAGTTTATGGGCCCCAGAAGAAGGGCGATTAGTGCTAATGGATGGGCAGCTGAAGATCATACCCTAGACAGACTAGAAATGAACCGGGCATCCAGCGGCTCCTTCGGGGGTAGCGCTACAATAGTATGCATCTATAAATGTACCAATAAGGAAAATGACAACTAATTTGCACAATAAACTTTGCTATCTATAACATAATTATATCTAATATAATATAGTCATGTGTTACATACTATGCTTGTGCTGCAGGTTTCCCATTACAAACAGTATTTTGAGTAAATGTGCACCATACTATAAAACAGTTGGGGGCTGATTATAGTGGCACTACTGCCACTAGATGGCACTGAAGAGTATAGGGATTAGCAGTTCACTATAGACTATACGATGGAAGAGGTATCAATCAGCCCCTAGATGTTGCTGATCATAGTAAAAATATTACTTACTGTTTGAATGATAAAAAGGATTGTTCCAATTAGTCTGACCAGTTTATTGAAGCGCAGTCCAAGGTACTGTTGACACATTGAAGAGATACAAATATTAACCTTAACAGTTCTACAAAAGAAGCTGTGAAAAAATACAACCAATAATACTTTATGAAATAAATGTAAAGCAACTGTATAATCATGCATAGGTAAAGGGACTGTTGATATATTAAAGACATACAAATACCAACCTATATGCACATGGGCGTAATTTATTTACTGACTGCATAAAAAAGCATCTAATAGTCAATAAAGTGCTTCTGTGAACACGCATTTAGGCTTGTAAATGTACAGATCCACAAAATGATTCTATTCTTGCTCAATTATACAAGTGTACATATGTACATGCATTTACACACATTTAGATGCATACATGTGTAAATTACTGACCACAGTTGTATATATTTCTGTTCTGATTTACAGATCTTTACTCATAGCAATTTTACTGATGTAAACACATCTGTGCGCAAGCGCCCATAGCATACAATACTGCTGCATTCAGATGTGTAAAAATATATATATATACAATTTACAGTTCTGAATGCAGCATTTTTTTAGTCAGTGTGCATGAGCCCTAAGAGTTCAACAAAGGAGGTGTGGGTAAATACAATTAATAATGCTATATGAACAAATTTGAATCAACTATATAATAAAACAAAGTTGAAGGTACTGCTGATATATTAAAGAGATACAAAAATGTACCCTAAAAAGATCCACAAAATAAGCTGCAAATAAACACAACTAATAATACTATATAAATAAAATGTAAAGCAACTGTATGATCAAATACATAATACATTGAGATGTGTTAGGTTATTTGTTTTATCAAATAAAATAAACAACATCTAATTTCTATTGCTAGGAAAAGATTAGCCAGTTTGGTAAATGTAGCCACACATTTTCATAACAGAATGTTAGCCCTCTGTCAACTATAAAGCCCAAGTAGATACTGGAGTATGCCAGCCAGCATGCAGCATGTCATGGCATTTCCCTATTTTTTTTTACAAATGAGTGATGCTGGTTATACTATACCTCGTAGGTGCTGGTGATGCCCAGTCTGTAGAACACCGGCAGAAAGATCTCTGATGAGATTAGTACTGTGAGAGTATAAGTGATGGCAAATATACTGAACATGGCACCAAATCTGTAGACCTCTGCGGGGGTACCCAGTACTGTCACAGCAGACATGAAGCTGGCGGTGAGTGACAAAGCTACTGGCACCGCTGTCATGCTCCTGCCACCCATCAGGAAATCTTTGGATGTCTTCTGTCCACCACCTGCAAAGGCATAGTAGATGCCAATGACTGCAGAGATGAGTAGCATCAAGGCGAACACCACATAGTCCCAGACTGTAAAGGAACCGATGTTCCCTGGGCTGGCCATGCTAAGGAACCTTTGTCTGTATGTGGACTTCTACCAGGAGAGACAGCTAGCTAATAGAGGTGAGATGGAGCAGCAAGCACAAGTCAAGAGCAGTTATCACAGGCTGGAGGAGGACTCCTGAGAACAGTTGCATATGCTAATTAGATAGATAGGACACTGAGTAACTTGGCAAGAGATTAGCAAGGCACAGGCTGTGAAAGTGCATGCACTCCAGGACAAATAAGTTATTGCTACAGATGTAAGCAGTAAAAGTAGGATAGAGAAGCGTGATACAGTAAGAACAGACACTAGCAGAAGATTATTAGCAGAAAGTATAGACAGGTGTAGCAGAGTGACTAGGAAATAGTGACAAGCCAAGGGCAGGCTTGGAGAATAGGTCAGGGAGGAGGAACTGACTGAGCCCTTTACAGGGTTAATATAGTAACTGAACTCAGCAGGTGAGATCTTACAAACCCTGCCAGCGCAGATAAGACACCTCAGGTCCATTGTTTGCAATGTGCAGGTTTCACCATGGCGTTAATTCACTCATCATTGAAAGTACACATGAAACTAACAATTATGCAAAAATACCATATAATCAAAGTCTGGTGCTTATTGGCATTTGCACACACTTGAACATTTTGATTGTGTTGTACAACTGTAAATTAAATTAATAGTATCTGTGCATGCCATTTATCTAGTTACAGGTAGGATGGAGCATTAGTGTCGTTGCTTATAATAAAAATATCAGAATGGAGTCAGACTTTAGGAAATTATCTGTCCACGGGGATGTGTACAAACAGCCAGACACATAAACATAAATGTTCATCTTCCTTAAGAGCTAATCTCAGCCATCACTGTGTCTGCTTCTTAGACATATCGATTGCCACTTGTAAAGTTGTAATATATCATATGTTCTGACTCAAGGTCTAAAATGGTTCAGGCCAAAATTAATTCAACAGTATCTCTTAACTGCTTTTGAGGTTGTTCAGAAGTAGGTACGCTTCTGCATATACTATGGGGATGTCCTATCGAATATTTTACACAATCCTGGGTTGGAGACTTTGGAGAAATCTATCTGAACCCTTATTAAATCTAAAAGGCTGTACCCTATCTCAATCTAAGTTAATCACATTTATTTTGATGGTTGCTAAGTAGATGGTAGCGAGGTCTTGGAAGACGAGAATCCCGACAGTCCGGCAGGTAAAAATAAGATTTTGTGGTACATGAGGAATGAAAGACTGTTGGCAATTTCAAATGATACAGTGAACATATTTAGTAGGGTATGGTCACCTTGGTTCGAAAAATATATGCCACCCAAATTTGAAAATGTATTATTAAATCTATAAGTGCTAAATGTCAGTAGACAAGGGGTTTATAGGCTTCCTCCATCCTGGGGAAGGAGGGGGATCCATTTTGCCCTCCACCTTTGTTTTTTTTGTTTTTTTCTTTGCATAGGTTCTGTCCCATGGCATGGAAATCCACATGAATATGTTTAAGAAAGCATTTGAAACGGGAATAAGATGGTATATATATTAATAATTGTAACCAGATTTGCAGATTGTTTGTTGAGTGGGGAGCAATAATGCTGCGGACGTTTTCTGTGTTCAATTTTCTTTTTTGTTTTGTTATGTTGTGATGTTTGATATATGAAATAGATAAAAATATTTTGAAAACTAAAATGGTTTAGTCTGTTGGTATTAAACAATAATTCCACCTCAATACATAAAAGTCTGAATATTAGACTCTACAAACCACAAAAAGCAAAAATTCTATGTTCAAACAAAACAAAATCAAATAAATACCAAAAAAATAGCCATGTTTGGTATTTTTTTTTATTTGTTGTTTTGAAAATAGAATTTAGAACTTTTAAATATTGATTTAATTTGCTTTTTGTGGTTTGTAGAGTCTTTTATTTCGTTTTTTTTTTCATGTTGGGGTGGATTAATTTGTAGGGTTGAACAACCAACACCTCACATTTAGCACTGAGGATTAATGATTACAACATAGTATAAAATCAGTATAGAGGCCAGAAACATTATTAATTTCATTTTCTAGTGCAGGTTTGAATCTGATTAGCTGCTATTACAACACAGTTCTTATTTCAGACATTTTGGCAAATTAATTCTGATTTAACCCTTACTTGGATCGTTTGTTTCTCTTTAGCCATACTAGATACATATATCGGACTATTCACTAAAGGCATATAACATTTACAAATAGTATTCAATAACAAATCAGGTTTAATTATATCTGCCCAGGTAGTTGAAGTAAGCCCAGATTCACTAGTTTGCTCTATGTCTGAGTATGGTTTGCATAGATATCTTGACATGAGGACAGATGTATTTGCTCTATAGCCAACTTTGCTTTTTGATTGTGACTTGCTGATACTCTTATCTCACTGAAAGTCTACCCAACATGGTCTGTCTCTTTAAATTATGAGTTTCTCTACAGCCTCTTTTGAGGTGACAAGCCTACAATGCTCTAGAACAGTAGTTCTAAATCTGTGTAACCTCAGGACCCACATTTGTCTTTGGTAATGAAGCCGCGGCCCAAGTTGCATCGCACTGGAAGGCACGGCATCTCCAATATTTGGTAAACATCTTTGTGCAACAGCATCCCTATGGAAGTGTGCATTGCCTCACCTCTACATGGTCCAATCATGATCATGATTATATCAGGCAACATGTATAAGCATTAAATCATATAAGACTAAAGTGGTTTGCACAACATTTGTTCTAAGATGTTTTGCAACAGTGATTATATTGGTCAGTGCCTTGGTTTTGTTCAGTATAATTACTCAATCTAGATATTTTTATTCATTACATATATTACCCAGGCTTGCTCATATATTCAGGGCACCACATCCTTATCAAAGCTAACATTATTTCTACTAAGTATATAAAGACTTTCAGGTGCCACATCAAAGGATTTACTTTACTATTTAACATTATTGTTCAAAAGAAAATTATATAAATTCTCCTTTATTGTTCACATACATAATGTAATAAAAACTTTAAAAGAACGTGTTCATTATTGCACTAATCTATTTCAACCTATATAATGCCTATACCATCCCATCGACCAGTAGTCTCTTGGCTCATTGGTGACGTCCATGTACTTCATAATATATAATTGCTGAATTGTCTGATGGGGTGAAGCAAAATTCAACATATTTCACAGTGACACACACCACTTTCTCTGGAAATGTGAAAGAACATTACATGTGTGGTTTATAACACCTCAGACCTGTCCATGCCTCAGAAAAGATATATACAAGAGGATGTCTTAAAAGTCTCTCATAATTGTCAAAAGAACCATGGCTATTAAGTAGATCTCTATTATTATTATTATTATTATACAGGATTTATATAGCACCAACAGTTTGCACAGCGCTTTACAATATACATTAATATTAATTGGACATATCTATATCACCAAGAAAAGGGGTGGAAGAAACTCCAATCAACGTTCTGCTGGGCAGCATATTTTGAATTGCTGCTCAGTGCGAGAACTGACAATGCTGCGCTAGTGGAAGGCTGAGGAGCCTCTCACCTAGCACAGTGCCGACCCACCAGTTAAGAACCACGGATCTAGATACATGTCCTATTTATTGCAAGTATTTATATAGCGCCATCAGTTAATGCAGAGCTTGCCCGGCCTCAAGGAACTTACAGTCTAAGGTCCCTATCTCATATGCACACATACTAGGGCTGAATAACCTACCAGCCTGTGTTTGGGGTGTGGGAGGAAGCTGGAGTACCCGGAGGAAACCCACGCACAGAATGGAAGAACATGGAAACTCCATTCTTGTAGTGTGTTTAAACCTGATTAAACCAGGGACCTCAGTGCTGCACGGCAGAAGTGCTAACCACTGAGCCACCATGCTGTCCTATGAAAATGATTAAAGGCTAAAACAACACATAAAAAACTAAATGCATAGAAAAACAAAATGTTGCTGTATTCTAGATAGAATACAGAGAACACACAGCCTGTAAATAAGGCGGTTTAGAAGTAGTGCTGGACTGCATGACATTGGAAAGACATTTTTAAATTTCTACATCACATGTAGTGATGGAGGCCCGTAGTATCAGTTCCCAGCATTGCTACTGAACACTTATGTCAATGTTAATGGTCAGGGCCGGACTGGCCATAGGGCAAACCGGGCACTTGCCCGGTGGGCTGGGCCAGCCCAAACACAATCAACCTGATTGTGTTCGGCCCGGTTTGCTACACCTGACGGCCGGCTCTTAGCAGAGCCGTCACTACTACACAGTAGATACTAGAGGGAGCTGGTGGGGGAGGCCAAAAAAAAACACTTCCTCACCCAGCTCTCTCTAGTCTCTACTCTGTGCTCTCCTCTCCGGAGCTGCCGGTGATGCCCGGCGCTGTTCCTGTCCCCTGTCCCCTGTCCCCGGTCGCGATATTTACATATGAATGGGTCGCGGTGATTTGCATATCAATAAGCCGCTGCCAATATGCGGTCAGAGCTTTTCCCCATAGTCCTCCTAAGGGCAACGGGAGGACACAAACTAGCGTCCTCCCGTCACCCTAGGCTCAGTATACCGCGAGCTACAGCTCCTGGTATACTGAGACGCTGCAGCTGAAGCGAATCCCGACAATTATGTCTGGGTCCACCCAGCTGCGTGACTGACAGCTGGCACTGCCTATCTAGAGGCAGAGCCAGATGTACCCACCCCCTCCCTGGTCCGTTCCACCAGTCAGCGCTGACGGATCGGAGCGGGGGCAATCCAGCCCCTCCTCTGTCACAGCAGAGAGCCGTGACAGGATCGAGAGGTGAGCGAACGCCGGTATGTGTTCGCTCACTTCCCGATCTACTGAGCCGACCTGTGACAATCTCATTGTCAACGGTCGGCTAGAACTATGAGGTGAGTGGAAAGCAATCACCTCATAGTTCTCCTTTAAGCACGATACAGTTACATTTTATTTTAAAGTATGAAATGTATTAATGGTGATAAGGTTATGAGTGTAATTCAAGTGTCTTTTTAGTGTCATGTGCAATTTATTTAATGTACAGCATCAAGGATGTGTGATTCCATGCTTACTATACAAAAGCTGCTCGCAATATACTGCATTAACTCTGGGCAGAATTATTCTTAACCCTTGCAGTGAGGCTAC